TTTTTTTGAACGTGTTTTGCGCGAAGTTAGATCTCGTCAATCAACGAGAATAACAAAAGTAATAGCCCATCCTTCAAGAGCGATCGAAATTCAATTTGAAAAACCATCTTTTTCCTACAAAGCTGGTCAATATTTATTTTTAAATGTTCCTGACATCTCTTCCTTTCAATGGCATCCTTTCACCATCACTTCTGCACCTGATGATCCTTATGTTTCATTACACATTCGTCAAGTTGGTGATTTCACTAATAAACTTGGTGAAATACTTGGCTGTCAAGAGGCTTCTTCTGCTGATAATAAATTTGACTTCAAGAAAGTTTTACCTTTAATTAGAGTTGATGGTTCTTATGGTGCTCCCGCTGAAGATGTATTCAATAATGAAATTGCTATATTGATTGGTTGTGGTATTGGTGTGACTCCATTTGCTTCAATCCTTAAAAATATTTTCTACCAGCATAAATTTAAACGTCCTTCAAAACTTAAACGTGTAGAATTTTTCTGGATTTGTCGTGAGACTGGATCGTTTGAATGGTTCCAATCTTTATTGAAGACACTAGAGGATTCACAATTAGAAGAAGGTTTCTTAAAAGTTCACATTTATCTCACCTCTAAACTACGTGAATCGACAATTCAAAACATCATAATCAATGATGTGTCAAGTTCTTATGACCCGTTAACTGATTTGGAATCTAGAACTTGTTATGGCAGACCAAACTTTAATTATATCTTTAGTCAATTGAAAAAAGCGATTGAAACTGGTAGATATTTACCAGGAAAAGAAAGCAGCTTAACGACAAATGTTGGTGTCTATTATTGTGGTCCTACTCCTTTAGCTAAAAGCCTTAAAGCTGAATGTAAACTTGCTAATGATGATGGAATAAACTTCCGTTTCCGTAAAGAACATTTTTAAATAAAATTATTATTAGTTTAACTAGAAAAACATACAAATGAATTAATTAAATTTATTTATTTATTATTAAATCATAAACAAAATGATTAATAATTATATTATTAAATTATAAATATATAAATATAAAACACAAAACAGCAATATTAGTGTAATTTAATAAAAAATTTAGAAAGTCTGTATTTAATTTTTCTAATCATTTTTTTTTTTTCATGTTAATGTCATCTGGTGAGAGCGTGTTAATTGACGATAACAGTATAAATTTATGATTACGTGGATCAGAATGAATTGGCTATTACTAACGAATTAGTTTTATTACGAATAATTTTGGTTTAGTGATTCAAGAAAACGTTTTATTTAGTCGAAACTAATTTATTAACTTATTTCTAAGTTAATCTACAAGTTATTAAAACTTTATTACAAAGTTATTCTACAAGTATGTCGAATTTGAGCTTCTTATATACAATTAAATTAATTAATAGCAACTTCATTGCATCTAACATTCTAACCGCAACGCTAATTTCTAAATAATAATAAAGTTGGTTAATTTCCATTCAAATCTACAGGTCAAGAAATGTCCAAACTCGCCTTATTACTACGATATTCTTTAAATCTTTCAAGGAACCGCTAAAATGGATTCATGTATGATTGTGTTATTGGTGATGGAACTAACTTTAAAAGCATCCTCGATATTTTGTTCTTGGGTGGCAAAATTCAAAAAAAGAGTTATAGATGAAGCGACTAACTAACTTTTCATCACATCCAAGTATTTCGAGACCATCAATAATGTCTTTGGACCATCATTGCATCGTCCAACCATTTTATTATTAGTAATTGTAATCAATCATCCATCACCATCCATCATCACTTATTCAAAAACGAGTTTCTATAGAAATTTGAAGCTAGATAATCTGTCTTTTTATCAAACGGATATGAAACCCGTGTCAAATTCTTAATACTGTATGATTGATTTGATTTTGATTATTCTCGTGTTCTACATATTCGTTCACCTTTAATTACCAATTAACTATTTTTAGCAATTTTGCATTGTACGGGAAATATTCTGGTTTTAAGTGTTTCACTTTATGTTACATTGCGTTGCTATGATTGTTATGAGTTACTCTCCTGATTTTTTGTTCTTTGTATGGTAATGTATGGAATGTCTGACAAAAAATCAGCGTTTTGGATAAATATAGTTTTTTTAATTTAAACAACACAACATAATATTAGATAATCAAACAATATTAACGTTTGCTTGGCTAGACATTCTTTAATTAGTATTATTAGTGATTAGATGGTTAAATGATTGTTATTCTATTTTAAAACAATTTAACAATATAACAAAAAATGAAACTTCTCGTTATTAATTATTTTACTTAAAAACAAATCCAAGAAATATTTTTGTCTTTAATTTGAAACTAGCAAATGCCTTAAATATAGAAAATAATGATGATGATAGTCACCGATTAAATTTGGGAGAGCGTATTTAATTGGTGATAACAATTATTTTTGTATTTGTGTGTGGATCAGAATGAATAGGTTATCAACGAATTGATTTTGGTATTAGCGAATAATTTTGTTTAAAGAAGATAAAAGTGTTAAATAAAAAAATTACTATTTTATTTATTTAGTTTATTTGGTTTTTCTTGGTCGAAACTAATTAACTTATTACAAAGTTATTCCTTAGTCGAAACTAATTAACTTGTTTGCAAGTTTTTCTTAGTCGAAACTAATTAACTTGTTTGCAAGTTTTCCTTAGTCGAAACTAATTAACTTATTTGCAAGTTTTCCTTAGTCGAAACTAATTAACTTATTTGCAAGTTTTTCCTTAGTCGAAACTAATCAACTTATTTGCAAGTTATTTTTACAGTAGGTCAAATTCAAGCCCACCAAGAAAATTTTCCCCGCCGTAATATTACGTCCATAAATTTTAATATGCAAAGTTGTAATATTTGCATAAAAAATTATGTAATGTTTACACTCAATGTAACAATTGCACAATTTTTGTATGATTTTTGCATAATATTACAGAAAAATCTCCTGAGTTAATTATAATCCCATTTGGGTTCTGGAGTCGCGCGCCCGTTCGGCACCGTCACTAATTTCTACTAAATGTAATTAAATAAATTAAATGAATATTAACGTGTTACGAATTAATTAATAAGAATAATAATAAAATGAATAAACGATAATAATAATAATAATAAAGAAAATAAAATAATAATAAATAAATAGAAAAAATAAAATTAGAAAGTGATAAATATAATAAAAAAAAAAAATAATTAAAATAGAAATAAAATTTAAATTAGCCCGGAATTAAGAGGTTCAGCCAAGATTTATGCGTCAAAGTCTAATTCTGGTAACAATATTTATCAAATTTTTGGTATCATGATAATTTTAATATTGCAATAACTAATGGACATCCGAAAGATAAAGTTTGGCAATATTTTACCTCCATTGATGATCCTCATAAGATCCATAAAGGTGCTGTTTGTAATTTCTGTTCAACTTCATGAAAATGGAGGGAAACCATAAATTTTAAAAACACATTTAGCACACTATTGCAAAGCTAAAATACCAAGAGAACTATGCATTGAATATTTACATTTGATCAGTGAAGAAGAGACTCAAGATACAGAAACCACGCCTACTTCAACATAAACATCTACTAAACATTCAAATAAAAAGATCAAGTTGGGAAAAAATTGATACTTATTATAATACAAAACATATAAATCAAGCCTTAATTTGGTGGTTTCAACATGGTGATCTTAATTTTGAAGTTGATGCTATTTTAAATAGAGTAGAGAATTAAATAAATCTTTTGTAATTTTGAAATAATGTCAGTTATTTGAATCTGTATATATCCAATTTTTGAAAATTAATTAATTTTTTTGAATTTGGGATTTGTGGCTTTGTGACTTTGGGATTTAGGATTGGTAATACTTTGGGCAGCAAGTATAGACAGATTCAAGGTCAGTTATCCATTAATGTTCTCAATATCCTTGTTATCCATGTATCCATCTATTTAGTTATTTTCACGAATGTATTTCTAATAAACAATTCTGTAATTAAATTAATTAAATGCTTATAATTTATCTTACTCAGATTATCACATGAGCAGCTGATCAGTACCTGACAAATTGCAAAAATCACGTCATTTCAACATACAACATTTGGAAATTACAAACATTGAAGTACATAGACTATTTTAATTATCCTAAGCACTACATTGTCCTCATCTTTTTATGATGTACATAAAGCCAATATGACCTCTCTGTGATGATACAATGATGCAATTAACTCCAGTGGAGGAATGGGTCAGTTTATAGATATTGCATTGTTGTCAAGGGTGCATCTGTGAATTCTAATATTTCTGTAACCAAGAATTCTGAAAAGTTGCAACTTGATTCAAGTTTAGAAGATTGCAATTCAGAGTGGGGGTTTGGAACTCTGAAATTGCATTGTGCTTTTTGTTTTCAAAGAATCTTTTTGGTATCTTTCATGTTCTGCATTATGAGGAAAATTCTAAAACAGTGTTTGTTATATATAGATTAATTATTTTTAAATTCTCTGTTTCTTTGACATTAACCTAATTTATAATTTTGGGTAAGTGACATGGAATTTTGTCAAATAAGTCACCTGTTCTAGGTCAAAACTTTTGCTTATGAGTGGGTGCATTTAGAATTGTGCTTTTAAACCAGTTTAAAAAAATCCTTTGAAACTGGTTTCGAAATAGTTTAGAAAGACAGTTCTAGGCGTGTCATGACAAAACAGCAACCCTGCCTGGTTATAAGCTCTTGAATTGCAGAATTCCAAATCAGTTGCAGACATCCATATTTGTTCTACAAGTTGGGATAACACAAAGAAACCATCAATTTTAGATAACCTATAGAAAAATGATAAAATCTCATCTACTGTCATAAACAACATGATAATATTAACAATATTGATGTGGGTTATGTGGCAAAAGATTACCAAATATATCAAACTAGTAATTCAAATATACTTTCAGACAAAAATTATTTATCATTTTAACTTATAAATTTATGTCTATTTCCATACAGATGTTGCAGATATTTTTTGCTCATAGGGGAAATTTTCCATTTTCTTTCCACCATGCTAAAAGAGAACATGAGGAATCTGACAATTAAAAAATAGTGCCACAACGACTACCACACCTTTGTGTCTTTAATATTAACTATGACAACAGTAGTTAGTAACCTATCTCACTTATAATATCAAATAAACTTCCAGAAAATGATGTATTAGATAAAGGTAAAAAGATGGGAGTGAAAATGGACTATTAAAGCGCATGATAGCTCTACTCAAGATCAAATCAGAAATGATAGTTTGGTCTTGATCAATATATTATAGATCTTAAAAAGTCAAAGATCATCTTACATTCCAAAAAAAGCATGTTATGTCCATCCTGTAGATCAACAACGATTTTAAAAATCATCTTTCATGATGACTATGGAAATAAGATGGATCTTCTTAACTATTACTTTTCTAAGATAATTCATAATATCCAAAGATTGTCAATTTGAAAAAAATTTATAATAATGATAATAATAATAACAATAATAACAATTAATTGTAATATGATATTATAAAAGAAATCAAAAAAAAAAGATTAAATTCACAAAATAAATAAATTTTAAATTTAAAATATTATACATTTACAACACCATATCCATCATTGTTCATTCTTTGAGCAGCTTTATATGAAGATGAAGATGTTGATGTTGGATCATTTAGAGTGTGTGGACCGTTGAATCCATTCAAATCATTTCTTATTAAATTATTTTGTTCTTCATGAATAATAACCTATGAGTAATTTAATGATTATTATTGCTATATTATTAATATTATTAGATTTTTTTTTAAAAAAAAAACCCAACTTACATCAGCTGTCCATAATGCAGCTCCGACAACATTTGTCCAAAAGAATACGAGATTTAATATTGGTATTAATTCCAGTGCAACTGCTATAGCACCAAACTCTATGTAATCTTCACGATTCCTCCATGCAAACTTTCTTGATTGATTAACACTCCAATGTTTAATTTCCAAATGATAATGTATTTGATGACCCCATGTCATTATCCATCCATTCAAATAACAATATAACAATGTTCCAATGACTGGAAATAAATGTAATGGCATTGTGATTAAAAGCGTTATTATCTTTTTTAAAAAAGAAAGAGAAAGAAACTTGTTATTAATTTTATTTACTATTATTATATCAGTAGTAGTAGTAGTAATGATTAAGTTAATACCTGAATTAATATTAAAACGTATATTTGGAACATTAACAAAAAAAGACCCGAGCATAAACCACGGCAGCATAATACCAAATCAGATGGTCTTCCTTTTCTTTCCAATACATGATTTAATCCTCTCAATCTTAAAACATCGTCAAATAAAGCATCTTGCCAAATAGGAGTAATAATTAAATATATAATAATAACGATAACCACACTTTCCAGCAAACAAAAAATTACTGAAACTATCCAAGCTATCCAAGCTGGGCAATTAGCAAATATTAATGCATGTGCTTGAAGTTTTAAAAGAAAACCAAAGACGAGACACAAGGTTACAAGAGACGCTAATAATGTAATTATTAATATAATTATAACTCTTCGAACAAGGATCCAATTTGAAAAGAAAAAATAAATTCCTTTTAAAGGATAAGTTGAAGGTGGTGAAGCCGATGAAACCATTTTTTGTTCAGGTAGTTGAAATTCCCCCAGTTTGTTTTTATTTTATATACATTTTAAAAATAAATATGTAGTGATCTACAAAAATTTTGCACATATGATTTTGAAGAATTTGAAAACTTTTTATAAAAATTTAACATCAATTTCCAACGATGATTCAATAAATAACTTGGCGATTTTTTTTAAAGAGAATAAAGGAAAATTATCAATATTAAGTGGTGCAGGTATGTAATATATAGATTTTTCTTTTTTAAAGTATCTCTTTCTATTATCGTATTATACAATTAGGCTAAGAAGGATGTTTGTATATAATTATTTTAGGAATTAGTACAGCTTCTGGAATACCTGATTATCGTGGAATAAATGTAAAAAACAAACTAATTATTTTAAACCAACTATTTATTATTCAATTTATTATTATAATATACTATAAAATATATAGGGAGTTTATAAAACAAATAAAAGTTACAAGTCAATATTATATAATGAAGTAATATTTTCATTCTCTTTATCTTCAATTAAATTTATAATTGAATAAATAATAAATATATCTATCTATATACATAAAAGTTTGTTTCACATCATCATATTCGACAACGTTATTGGGCTAGGTCATTTTTTGGATGGAAAAATATATATTCAGCAAAACCAAATGAAACGCATTTTGCAATTAAAGAATTGCAATCGCTTGGATATATTCAAGATGTTATTACACAAAACGTAGATGGGCTTCTTCAAGCTGCAGGAACTCAAAATGTTTTAGAATTACATGGAACATTACATGAGGTACATTGCTTAAAATGTGGCTTCAAGAAAAGGCGGCCAGATTATCAGGAGATATTAATGAATTTGAATCCAAAGTGGGTAGAATTTTCCAAAATTTTGGAAATGTCCAAGGCCAATCCTAAAACAAACCCTGATGGTGATATTGAATTACCTTCAAACATTACCTATGAAAATTTTAATTATCCATCATGCGAACAATGTGAATCAGGACTTTATAAACCTTCAGTGGTGTTCTTTGGTGAAAATATTAGGCCTGAAGTTAGAAAAAAGTCAACCGAAATCATTTTAAGGAACAAAATATTAATGGTTGTTGGATCGACGCTTACTACGTATTCAGCATATAGACTTGTGTTTTTGGCAAAAGAATTAGGAAGTCATGTTATTATCCTTAATTTAGGAAAGACACGAGGTGATGATTTAGCTCGTTTAAAAATTGAACGATCAAGTGAAGAAATATTATCTGTTCTTACAAACCGTCTAAACATACAACAAAATTTATAACAATTCAATTTATTTATTCTTATTCATTCATTAAATTGTAATAATAATTTTTCAACATTTAACAAGAATGAATCAGATTAATTTGATATTTTATTTTTAATACAAATATTGTCTTGGAACTTGTCATGTTGATGGATAACTTTCCTTGTGCAAAGGAATTATCCAATAACTACCCCAAATGAAATTTGCAATTATGAAAGAGTTACAAAATTTGCCACATTTTGGATATTCTGATCACATCCAGATTTTAGAACTAATCATCTTGAATTTAAGTTTTTCCATGTTTATTTTTTATTTTGTTTTTGAAGAATGTATTTTGTCATTGTGTTGAAAGATAGATAACATGGCATTCTATTTTATTACATCAATAGAGTTGAGATAAGTCTGGGCTATTGTGCAACCACCATCGTCACTCTCTCTTATATATGTATCGTTAACATTAGAAATATATTGAATATATATTTTAAGTGAATATGGTATTGATTCAAGACTAGAATCGTTCAAGAAGTAATTATCATGTGTGCGTTAATGATGCAACTATTTTGTTTTTTTAATATACTAACCAATTTTTATTATTCAGAACAAAGAATAAAAATTCTAAATATGGTACTAAAAATATTATCATTTAAAATTTGGGGTCATTTTAAATAAACGCGCCGACATAATTTGAATAAAATTACTTTTTGTCAGGTTCATCCAAAGTACTATTTAAAGTGTTTTATGCCACATATAGTTAATTTACCGCTTCATTGATAAAATTGTAATATGTATAAAAAGAACTCTGAAATTCATGTACTTTCAAAACAATTCTTTCTTGAATAAATAATAATCCCTAAAATCCTTCATTTATTTTTTTGCATTGCAAAGAAAGAAATAAAGATTTTTGGTATTAATATAATTATTAAATGAAGGTTGGTTTAAGAAGAATAATGCCTATTGATTCTCTGGAGTTTTCTTCTAATACGAGACAAAGATGTTAGTTAACCTTGCATCATGTAGATATAGTTACCATGAGATTCAAAAATACTATGAACTGCATGTATCATTATTATCATTGAATATCTGTATTTTTTTTTTTGCAAGTTAATATTATAGCAAAGGTTTTATTTATTAATATTAAAAAATTATTTAATTATAAAAATCTTCATTCGAGCATTGTCCTAAATAGTAACCATGATAAAGTACGCAGAGCTGCCATATACATATAGCTTTAAGTTAGAGTATTTGTGAAAAATTGAATGTATTTTGTATATTAATATAACAGATAACACGCGTTTTATGATGATCGCATTCATATTTCTAAAAATTGAAAAATTAAAAACAAACCAAAATTAGATGAAAAAAATGGATAATCATATTCATGAACTGTTACATATTATGAAGGACTATAACAATATTTGTAACAAGACTGGCATTGGTGGTAATGTTAGTGGTAATATTAGTGTTTGTAGAAATATGTTTAGAGAGACTTTAGAAAATGTTAGAAAACGAGAGGAAATAATGCATCATAAATCTGAAATTATAAAAAATGAGATAAAAAGTAAGCAAAAGTGTTTTTATTATTAGTGCATATGTGTGTGTATATATATATATATGTGTACGTACGTATGTATAAATATAATTCTTATATTTACATATATACAAGGTATGGACAAAAAATTGGAAAATTTAAAAATTGAAGTGAACAAATTGGAACATTATGATGATTTTGATGCCAATAATAATAACAATAATAATGTTGGTAAACACAATTGTGAATCAATCAAATCTAATTTGTCGTCATCAATATCAAATTTAGACAAAGAAATCCAATATCCTTTTACATCAATAGTTAATCGTGTGTTATTATAATAAATAAATATTTATTTATTTCTTGACTCTTTTAATGAATATACAACTTTAAATTTAGATTATGAAAATTTAAAAAAAGAGTCGAAAATGTTAGAAGAAGATTTTGATGCTAAAGGGTTGAAAAAAGAAGATTACTCTTTGTTAGTAATTGATAATATTGTTGTTGATTGATTTAACGAGAGAGTAAATACTGAAGACTTGTATTTATTTATTTATAAAGACTTATATTGGCATTGCTTCGTAAATTGGGAATTCGTTTTTTTGAAAATCCAGATACTCAAAAATTAAAAGTAATAATTGGTAAATATAATTTATTTGTATCATCATTATTTTATTTTTCCTACAATTATAACAATTATTATTATTATTGTAGAAGGAAATGATGATATCAATGTCGCGATAATAGATAATGCATCGGATGAATATGAAGTTTCCAATTATTTATGGAATTTAGTATTTGAACTAGAAGAGGAAGAAGAAAGAAATAAACATTTTTTAATGTGATTGACATTTCCATACAAATGATCGACGTAAAAAACGCCCGTTATATTTTTTTTGGAAAATATTTATTACATCTAGTTTTCAAAAAAAAAATTAAATAAACAATTTTTTTATCATATACTGCTCAAACACATCAATTACCCGAAAACAATAAAAAAATGAAATAAGAGAGTGATGAATAGATTTTATGAATTATTTATACTCAACAAAACAAAGTGAAGAATCATTTACACTTAGTTTGATAGATGACATATTTAATAGAATCGTTCTCGCTCCCTAGTTTTTCAAATTTTCTTTGTATTAAATATTAATTAATAAAACAAAAATCAAAAATCACAATATATAAACATGTCTTCATTCCATCTGTTTCACATAAATAATAGGTATGAAATTCTTTTAGGCATCTAAAGTAAACCTTTCACTGTTGCTCTCTATATATAATTGAAGAGATTAATAGTAATACGTTTTTTTATATAATGCGTAATGCTTACTTTCATAATAATAGATTATAAACTTGTTTCTTTCCAAAAAAATTATAAAAACCAATTCACTTTAAATCCCATTGTTATTATAATTGTCTTTGTTGTTTTGTAAATTGTTTCTGTTATTTTTTAATATTTCATATACTGTCATACTAATAGAACTACTTGGTATCATCCATAGAACTCTTGCACCCATTCCTTTAGTAAATGCAATCAATCCACCCTCATTAATATACATTGATTTAATAATATCAATGGGTGATTTGATTGATTGTTGATTAGAAAATGTGGTCTGCCATCTTGTCTTGACCACATCTAGAATATTTGATATTGATCCTGCTATTGTAATTGATATACTTGAATAAATAGCATAGTCAATATTACTATTACCGCTAGTATTGTTTTTGTTTTTGTTTTTGTTTAGAAAATTAATTTGTTTAAGTTTCTCATAAGTTGTAAAATATAAAATCGTATGTGGTACATAAACATATAATGACATCCAATATCCACGAAAAAATCCTAAAACTCCATCTATTCTAACTATTCTTTTTATCATTGATAATGTATTGCTTCCACTTGTTGAATCTTGAATTTGCAGTTTACTTTTTAAAACTTCCATTGGCGTCCAAAAAGCCCCACTAACTATCTCTGCTATAGTTCCACTAATCATATGATTTATCATCTTGTCATCTCTTATTCCAAAATTGTCTGATATATAATATTTTGATTTGTCATATATGTATAAATATGTTGATGAAGCTGGCACGCCTAGCAATGTTGCTACCAATAATCCATTATAATAATCCATTAATGATGTGTTACGAATCAGCATAATTAGAGGCGAGCGTCTAATAGAATATTTGTACAAATTACGAAAATATGACGTTCTAACATTAATTTTGGCAGCAGAAACAACAAAATTATTAATATTAGAATTCACTGCTGTAGAAGTTTGAAGACGCACCCTAATAGTGTCAAGTGGATGTGTGATGATTCTTGAAATCATTGCTGCTATGCTTGAATCAATAATTGTGAAATTATAGGATGATGATGTCATTTTTTTAAAAAAAATTTTTATGAACGAGTGGGTGATTGATTATCTTTTATTTATCTGATCTACACGGATTTGTTCAATGTGTTCTGATTGGTTGAATTCATCTCTAAAATAGCAAGTTTCAGGAATCAAAATTTTATTTTTTATATACATCAAATCAACTATGGAACCTAAAAATTACAGCATTGTTGGAAGCATTTTGAAAAAGGATCAAGGGAAAACTCCGTTCTTTATGTATTTAAATGAAGAAGAGCGTGAATTTATGCATGAATTCTTTGGTGATTCTGAAAATTAGAATCTCAAACAGCACAGCCGGAAATTGATACTGAAAGGCTAGTCCAAGTCCTCGAATCAAAGGTAAGCTTGCTGAGTCAAACCTGGAGATGTGAAATTGCAGCTTTATGAAAGAAAAGCCGAACCAATCCCTGTTCAAGAAGCACCTCTTTATAAAGGAGGTTTTATGTAGAAGTACCCTGGTCAATCCCATTTCAGACAATGAAGAACATTGTGTAGTATGGCAAAATGGAATTCAGACCGCAAAAGATATGTTCAAGGTGGAAGGAGCATAGTATGATCCTCATTCATTGCTATTGCTGGTGCATCAAGATTGCTCTCAACTTCTCATTCCACTTTATCACCCTTCCCAAGAACCTATACATCTACTACAAACCATTAACACCAGTCAACATATATTGGACAACACACTTTCAAGATCCTTCTGGTCAGGGAGATTTAACAAAATAACTGATCATTCGTTATATGTTTTTCCAAGCAGAGAAACCGAGAAGAAAGTAAACTTTATTTTTTTCATTTTGCGTTCACAATTGTAAACTAGTTTTTACATGATAAAGATAATAAAGCAGAATAACTAAAATTTATATACATATATAATGTCAAATTCTATTGTATCTATTAATTAATTAATTCCAGACTCATATATATATTATATATGTATATGCAATAAACCTAGAAATTTTATAAATTAAAAAGAAAAGAAAAGAAAAGGAAAGGAAAAAGAAATTTTTAAATCATGTTCTCCTTTTTTAAAGGAAAAATCATCTATATATTACAAACTTAAACAAAAGAAAAAGTTTGTGATATGATTATATTAAATTAAAATAAATAAATAATAATTTTAGTTGTCAGCAGGCTTATTTAAATGAAGAACAAATAAATAACGTCGTAAAAAGATATTGTTCTCCATTCATATCCTGAAGTGGAATATGACGGTACCCTGTAATTAATATATTTGGTATAATCAGTATAATTATTAATTAGCAATTCAATAACATTTCACATCCTACCCATTTGTAAACTAGTTAAAGGTGTACAATAATATGCTATGAAATCATTCGTTCTAACATCCTCATCAAAAACACAAAATCTTTTAGATACGAATAAAAAATTATATTGAAAAAATTAATTAATTAGTAAATTGAAATAAATAAAATATGCATGTTTAATAAACAATTAATAGAATGTAAGCTTGTTTTAATATTATTTTAAAAAAATCTTACCGTAAAAAAACCAGGCCAATTTCTTCACATTCAATTGTAAATGATAACTTCTCCTTCCATATTGGATTAAATCCATTGTCTGATATTGTTTTAGTTTTTTTTATTACGGCCTCAGAATTTGGAACTAACAGCGTAACCTCAACGAACGGATCAATTATTTCTCCTTTAGTTGCTTCTTTTGGTTTGGGAAGCTGTTGAGCTGAAATTATCTATTTATTAAAATTTTTTGTGTGTTGAAGGAAATTATATATAGTTTAATTTTCGTTCGAGTTACATGTTTATATTAATATTAAATTTTTTTTTAATACCTCTATTGATAAGGTTCTTGGTTTTGGTTGATCCGATGATAAACATAAATCTGGATTACGTAATCTATCTGATTTGAGAACATATCCGCACCTACCGTTCACAGCGAACATAGCTTGATTAATCTGCATTCCAAGGTCTAATAGAAATGATTAATAATATCTTTTTAGACATTAAGCTTTAAATTAATTTTGTTTTCTTTTTGTTTTTTAAATAACCAACCAAATGTTTGCCAATTCAATGCAACCAATTGACTACCAACTATCCATTGATGATGTGGTTCGTAATTTGATGAATTTATTCGAAAACCTGCAGGATAAATCCGTGATAGATGTTTTGTGTTGTGTCGAATGAATGCCGATTTTTCTGATTTTAAAAGACGTGTGGAAACTTTCTCAGAAAAAGATGACATATGATAGTATGATGAATTTTCTATTTAACAAAAAAAAAAAAAAGATGCAGGGAAGAAATAGAAGCGTGAATTTTTTAATTGACAATGTTTTCAAAAAAAAAAAAAAAGAAAGACACTAACCACGATGATACTCAAATCCTCTAAATTTGGTAGCTGAACAATAAACTATTAAATCAGAAAGCGCTTTTGCAACACGAGTTTTTTCCTTTTTTGGTTTGTCCTTTGGTTTTTTATCATTTTTTGATGATTCAACATCTGATTCGTTATCGGTAGCTGATTCAGTATCAGTAGTAGAATCACCAAAAAAATCATCGGGAGCATCTGATGGAAGATGTTTTCCCTAATGAATGAATAATTTTATTGTTGTAATTGTTATTATTATTGCTGTATTTCTAGAATATTTTCTCCCTGTCATAATTAATTAACCGTTTTTACCTTTAATATAATTTTATGCATCAAACTTTTAGGACTTGGTAACGTTGTTTCATTATCGTATAGGAATTTAGTGACCAAGCTTTCTCCTAAAAGATTACTTAGTATAAAGGCCATTTGGCCTTGTTGTTCAATACAACAATGAACTTCAAGTGATAAAATGAGTGGATAAGGACTAGCTTTAAATGCATAAGTGCGAATAACTGATATGACATCTTGAAATAAAATTTTAGACGTCCTAAAACGAAAGATATAAATTTTTTTTCAATAAAACCAGCAAAGAATCACCAATGATAAATTTTAAATTGGGATATGAATACTATAAATATTATACCAAGTACGACCATGTGTGACTACAGGTCCGTCAGGCCCATCCCAACAATCAACTATAAAAAATATATTATTATCGTTGTCGATTGTAGCATTATGATATTATTATTATTATTATTATTATTATTATTATAAAACATACTTTCAACACATCTGCATCCTCTTTGTAATACGCGTATATAACCTTCTACGGATGATTCACCTGTTAATTGATGGCCAAGAAGATATCTATAATAATTGAAGAAAAAGAAATTAATCGGTGGTATATAAATTTAGTAAATATAATAATGATGAACTAATATAATTTATAGATTTTATAATTAATTTACGTATTATGAGAGGAATCTACAAAATAATGTGATAAAGGTTGATCCATATCTTGATAAACTTTTGCATGTTCTGATGAAAATGTAGGATTATCACTTGACATCATAAAACTACTAAAACCCTCTAATGTCATTTCTTTTGTATTTTTATTACAAAATTTTAAGTATAAATTTTCATATTCTAACTCCTTTAAATTACACTACGCAACAATGGTTATTATGCATGTAATGAGTGTTTTTGTTGTTGTTGTTATTATTATTATTATTAATATAATTAAATAATTAGTACCTTTTGATAATCTATTAGGAAGTTCTTGAATTCTATTAAAGTTAAAACCGATTCACGTGGTGTTGCTAATCTAGTAAATAATTCTTCTAATTCGGTCCTTCTCTTGATTATTTTTACAAACCTTTTAAAATCACCAAAATCCAGCCAATCGTTCTTATTATCATTAGCTTCCTTTATAAATATTTATTATTATTAATGAAATATTTATTATAATAAATAAATAAATAAATAAATAAGTATATATATATACGTATTCATTCTACTCACATCAAATTGTTTTCTTAAAGATGCTTTTGACATGTTAATATTTAATTGACGACACAATCTAACCACCTCATCAAACCCTAATTTTGAATCGCCATCTTTATTCGCTTGTTTCCAATGTTGTTTTAACCAAACAGCCTGACGTTTTCTCAAATGGCCCAAACCACCCATTAAATCTTTTCTGTGCAAATAAAGTTTCTCCAAGTTGTCCACCCAAGTATTAAACAATTTAGGTGTTGGAGCAACAAGATGAAGTGTTTTATATTTTCCTGAATCAATATAAACAATAGTGAACCATCGTGATTCACAGTCCACACTGAGCTTAAATTGTTCTCTATAACTTCTTATTGCTTCACCAACCCGAAGCTCTTTGATATTTTCGATGTTGACTAATGTATTTTATTTTTATTTTTATTTTTATTTTTATTTTTTATTTTATTTTTTTGTAAAAATATTAATAATTAAAATTTCAATTTTAATTGATTAAATGTATGAATGTATAGAGCGACATGCCTTTTCCTGATTTTTTGGAATCCCATAATATACGACCTTGACCTACATCGATTCTAAAAATCTTTTGTTTTTTCTTCTTTGCGGAAACTTTTAATAGGGGAGTACCTTCAGCAAGAGAAGGTTCAACAAAAATTTCTTTAGTATGAGGATTTATTTTTATTGAAGAATACGATGAACGATTTCCATTGATTTGATCAGATGATGATTGTTTGTATGAGGCTTGAATTGAATGATTATTGTTATTGTTATTACTATCATGACTCGGATATGAGCCAGATGATACAATACTACCGGTAACAATACTATTGATTATTACTTCATCGGACACTACTATGGACTTCCTTCTTGGTGTGGTAGGAGGCAGGGAAGGTTTATCAATTTTTGTGGTTGTAAAAGCAGAGGATGAGGCTGATGGTGGAGAGGATGGTGGAGAGGATGTGGTTTTTAAAGAATACATTTTTGAAAAAATTTAATTAGATTAAAAATTTTTTTTAAACAGTACAAAAAAGTAAAATTTATATTATTTTTGATGTTGGTTAAGAGAGGGAAGATACAGTAACGCAAAATCAAAATCTTGTTTATTTACTTTGTGTCAATTCGAAATAGTCACAAAATATGGTTTGTCACTTACACAATCTCACTTAATCTGACATATCATTACAAATTATTCCTGCTTTTTTTGATAAATCCAGTTAAACACTGGGGCTGAACGGACACAAGTTTGAATAATAATGTATTATTAAAATATCAATATTGTGAGATTTATTTTGATAAACTCCAATTTTGGGATAGGAACTATTATTTGACGCTGCTAATTTTCTTAAAAGGAAATTTCAAGATGATAAAATGGTAAATAACAAAATGGCATTACATAATATCAAATTTTTTATTAATTCATGAAATCAAATTCAAAATTTTAATTATTATTATGCGAGTCTCTAATGACCCATTTATTTATCTTCAATGGAAAAATGGTAGGGCAAAGCAAATCTAGTGTTAATATTAGTATTAATAATGACATGTTAGTTTTGCCATTTTAGAATTGTTGTGTTCCACAATTAATACTAAAGAAAAAACGGGAAAGTAAATATTATATAAACAAATTATTAATTTTAATCTCACCATCACCACAATATTTCTTCTACTTGCACAAAAATAAAATAATTGAAAGGTATAATAAACAAAGAAATCCTTAAGTAGCAATTAAATGTTGAATACAAAAATTTTAAATAAAAACTATAATTAAAGCAAAAATATAAAGATATATATTAAATATTAATTTATAAATATAGTTTAATGACACACATATATATATATATAATTGTAACTAACTAAAGATTTAAAAGAAGGAAAAAATCTATCAATTTTTCTTTTTCGAAATAATAATTATTAATAACAATATAAAAAAAATCAAGATCTTAAAACCAGACAAAAGTCCTTGAAGAATTTCTCGTTTTCACTTAACTTTTATTTCAAAATTTAATTTTTTGCGGAGGAAAAATATAATTAATTAACATCCACACCCATCATTGAGAGCTTCGCTATCAATTTTGATCGCATCCGTGTAATCATTGTATCTATTTACAGTTATAAAATAGATTATTAGTGAATTGTTAAATAGAAACATATATATCCATTATAAAATATAAACTGAATCAACATACATTTCTGCATCATTTTCTTGTTGCAAAGCATTTTTAGCAATTGTCATGAATGCATTCTCTACATTGATTGATTCTTTGGCACTTGTTTCAAAATAAGGAATGTTTCCTTTTGACTGGCACCAAGTCATGGCGCGTTTTGGAGATACCTAAGATATGTATATAAATAGATGGATAGATATTAATTATGGTATAAATTGAATCATTGAAATAATACTATTGATAACAACGGTAATAATAATAGGTAATAATAATAATAATAATCGTTACCATTCTTCTTGATTCTTCGACGTCAATCTTATTGCCCAAAACAACAAAAGGAAAATTCTCAGGATCACGAGGAGAAGCCTGGATTAAAAATTCATCTCTCCAACTATCTAAAGTTTCAAAACTCTTGCCATTATTGACATCGTAAACAAGAACACAACAATCAGCTCCCCTATAAAATGCAACACCTAATGATTGAAATCGTTCTTGTCCTGCAGTGTCCCATATCTTTTATTTAAATAGTTATATATAATGAATTAAACGTTTGAACTGAATGAATGAGTAAATGAATGCATGAATTACTCTAGTGAATTTATTATATATTACCTGCATTGTTACGAGACAATCATCAACCAAAACTTCTTTAGTTAAAAAATCAGCCCCAATAGTGGCTTTATATTGGTTTGTAAATTTTTTGTTCACATATTGGTTCATTAAAGACGTTTTTCCAACACTAATAATATTAATAAATATATTAACGTTACTAAATATAGCTTTGTTATATACATATATGTATGTATATATTCGACAGATCTTTATAATCTCGCGAAAACGGTTTTAATATATGTAACTTACCCACTATCACCCAAAATTATTACCTTTTAAGAATTTAAGGAGGAAAGGATTGAAGGAAAGAAAGAAGTAAATTTTAGAAGTCCCATAAGAAAATTTTAATAATATACAATGTTTGATTTTCATTATTTATTACCTTTAAAAGCACTTTCTTACGATTAGACATTTTATAATAATTTATTGATTTATTTTTTTGGAGAAAGAAATTATTATATTGTTAATAAAAAAATCAAATCTTTCGTATAATATTTAATGATATTAATATTAATATATTTATTTGTCGGGCAAATTGGCTGAATTAATTGTGCAACCAATAAAATTCAATCTTGGGGAGTGCCCATATGAGGTCATTTGCACATTCCCCTTAGACATATTCTGCGCCACAAAGGCTATTTTTGATAATCAATGCCCAAAATTATTTAATTTAATAGATAAAAGTTACTGTTTTTTCATACTTGTATATTAACTTTACCTAATTATGGTATTAAAAGTGGTGATGCCGCTATTTAAACTTTCAGTAGTTTCGATTGGTAGTTATTATTAATATATATATATATATATGTATATCGTAAAAAACCTGTTTTACTATTCTGTTAACGTGTAACATCACCTTGATATATAGAACCTATATTCCCCCTTGCAATTTTGCGTTGGCGTAAAAATAACAATTTACAATTTTTTAATGACTTTTTTTTCTAAAAGAATCTCATTACAAAAGTACAAGTTGATAATAAAATAAATAATTACAATAATTATAATCAATCTAATCAAATCTAATAAGAACAATAAGAATATATAATCATCATGATCTACTACTAACTGCTAAATCATGATAGACGGTATAAATGGCAACCAATATGTTTGGAAATGGTGTATTCTCATTAATGGTAACATTTCTAATAGGGGAAAAATATCAGAAGGAAAATATTAGATCAAGTAAATAAATCAATTTCAGTTGTCATTTATTTAGTTACCTTTCAGGAGTTGAAGAGAATTTTGAATTTGTTCTCATTGTTTTCGCAAATGCAATTGATTTATCAGGAGAAAAGAATTCCAACCCTATTTTCATATTTCCGGTCACCAAAGAAATCTTATGAAATTCCAAATCTCCATTATTTTCACATTTCTTAAATATGCTACCTTGATGTAAAAATGTGGTGATGCTGATCTTGTACACACAAGATTGTTTCAATATATCATCGTCATCATCACTATCATCCTCTTCTTCTTTTGAAATGATCGCAGTATCAATTGCAGCAGGAAATCTGATTTCAATATTACCATACCACCAACCATATGTTGTAATGGCGGTTGAAACTTCATTCGTTGTATTTAAGGTGTGATTAAAATGAAATTCACGAATTGAATATTTGCGCGAAAAAATATTATACCATTTAGATGTGGATGTTAATTTGGCCAATGTAATTGATGATGATGATGATGATGATGATGATGATGATGATGATGATGCAACAATCGAAGATGATTCATTGTTGTTCTTTTTTTCATGTAAAGTTTTATTTTCATCAATGGAAAGTGAATCAATAACATAATCGCATCTAGAACAAAGCTCACCTAAAAAAAATAATAATAATAACAATATTAATTCACATTTTATAAAAATAAAAATCTAAAGTATACATGCATCAGTTAAAAGCTTTCCTATTTGTTTTAAATGATATTGCTTGGGAATGATTGAAATATCATTGATTAAAATTGGTTCAGATGGTTGAAACAAATCTATTATTGAGATGACTGCTATCAACAAAAAGATCGTCACACCAAGGCAATATAAAAATCCTAAACATTTTACGCAGAATTTGCGTTTATTATTGTGAGTTCTGGGTAAAAGTGGCTCGTATATTGCTTCTTCGTCGTCGCTTTCGTCTAATGATAATGACGATGATGAAAATGGTGGCATATTTTTTTCGTAATTGAAAAAAAATTTTTGGAAAAAAAAAGATGTAAAATTTAAATTTAAATGAAACCCGTGGGAATAATATTTATAGTTAGTATATATATGGTAAATAATAACATAATGAGTGATTCATTCGAAGACAAATTTACAGTGAACATAACGCACCAAATAAAATTTCAGGTTGTTCCGTTGATAAATGGCTCATATTTCGGTTCTTATTATATACATCAAACCGTTCATAGAGAAAATGTTGTTGTTTGAATAATTATTCAAAGAAAAATTTCACAAGTAATACACACATTGAGACTACTAAATATTTAATAAATCTTTATTGTTGTTGTTATTAAATATGCGCCAATTTTGTACAAATTATTCAGAATGAATGTTACACGTAATGTATTTTTTCAAATAGGGATTTGGGGATTGGAATTCCATCGGAATTTTCAAGCTATATATTATAATGAATATCCTGTTTAGACAATAACCATTTGGTCACAATAAATCCCTGAGTTTGATATCCATAGAAAGAAACCATAGTAATAGATTTTTGAAAATAAGATCTGCAAACGTATATAGTGCGGGTCACAAATAAAAATTCAATGTGGGCGGGAATGTGGGAGTGTGACGTCGTACATTAGTAATTTTCCGCAGAAGGTTTCTAAATTTACACTGGGCTGCTTACTGTAAAGTCTTGAAAGATAGCGCTCCTTTTTACAAATGATTTTCAATTGTTTTAAAGTAGTGTGGGTACTATCTTTCGGGGGTGTTATCTTACGGTATCTATGGTGCAAGCCACCCACCTAGTCCAATCAAAAATGCAATAAAAATTGTTTGGTCATGTGATATTTCCTGGTCATTTCATAAATAGTAAGTAAATCGGAAATAATAATATATACTAATACCATTCATTACTAGTTAAAATAATGACATGATTTGCACATTTCTTTGATCAATGCAATAGCCTATTTATTAAATTTGAAATAAATGGATTTAGCTGTTTGTTGCGTTTTTTTTTTTATATATATTAATATATAAAGAATAAATTATCTGGAAATTCATGTGACAAAAGATCTGCAATGTGAGGGAAAAAATTCAAATTTTTTATTTTGTTTCAATTCGCGTCAGGGCTAAACATAGTAAACTCGGTAAACTTGTGAAACTTTGAAGCTCAAATCATCCACAACAACATGACATATCAACAAGATGAAATCGTAACTTTGTAGAGGGAGGTCTCAAAAACACGATTTATTTTGGGGTGTTGCATTTCCATTTTCGGAGGATTCGAAGGATCTACATGACCAATAAAAAGTTACGGGACTAAGTGACTTGCATTATAAAAAACAGATTTGATAGCTATTACACAATCTATCGCCGAGATAATTTAAAAAAAATCATTGGTATACAAATAGTTTCCTAATTTGGAGTATTTTGATCTTGATTTGAAAATCCTTTTACTTAATTTGCAAAAATTGAAACAATTTAGTGTGTATATATGCTGAATTTATTGTTAGTATTAATGTTATTGGGGTTAATGTTTGATCTTAATGTTTGTTTGTTGCCATTGATCTCGATGACCGTGCTCATCTCATAATTATTAAAAATAATTTATCATAAAACTCATGTCATATGACTGAGATAATAACATTGTTAATTCGGATGCTAATATACTATAAAAAACTGTAATGCAAGATCGAACTGGAGGATCACCTCACTTATGTTCGAGTACATCTGTTACAATATACTTGAAGAGACTGTCGGATGGACTTTGGGTGACTTGGTATATTTGGACTGAGTTGGATGCGACTCCACATTTGCTCTCAGGACTGACTCCATATTACCCTGGTCTTCTCTGTCATTGCTTGCTTGTAACCTTAAATTTAAATTAAAATTATCTACGTACTAAATATTATTCTTTACATCTTCCTTTTTTATAATGTGTATGATTTATTGTTGCAAATAAAATTTATAATGATATCTGCTAATAATCAAACAATATTAGTATTAAAATATTATAAACAAACATATTCAATTTTAAAATCATTTCTATATTTTATTATTTTTTTATAATTTAAATAGCTTGGATATTTAATTATAATTGTAATAATGGTGACTATAATGACAATTACCAAATGAGATTACCCTAATTCTGTACCAAACACTATATCCCATACTTTACTTGTAATTCCATAACCTGATTCATAATTTTTGTAATGATGTGCTAAATGATATTTCTTCATTGTTTGGAAATGTTTGCCAAATGGTTGAGCATGATGGAGATGATAATGTGTCAAATCATAGCAAATATAGCCGAAAACTTCGCCAGCAATTATAGCACATGAAATACTTTCAGGAAACAACAGATATTCTAATTTTATGATTGGATATGCAATTGATCCTCCAAGCACTGGCGGCATAACAAGCCTAAGTCTGTATATAAGTTTTTATATATGTATACGTTAGAGTACATTTAATTTAATAAATATTACTATTAATAATAATTTGTTATATACTAACCTATCCATAGGTAGGTAATGATGTATTCCATGTATTGTGAAATGCAATGTAAGTGCATAAGGATGATCAGGTAAAAATTTGTCAATATGAAACAAAAATCTATGTAAGGCATATTCTAACAAAGTCCAAATTACAATACCACTTAAAAATAAAATAGAAAATGTTGTTGAATTTAAAGTTTTTGATGCAATATATCCATGATAAATTACTATAGGAATCCATACAATTGGTATAATGTACCAAGGTGTTTTTGTCAATAATTCTAAATAATCATTTCCGAATAATTTAGCTGAATATGAAATGTGACGAGGTCGATGAATTTGGTTGAGGTAGAATTCTTTGTTGAAATTATAATTAAGCATTTGTGAAAATAATGGTTTGTTTAAATCCAAAAACTTTTCTTTTTGATAATCATGGACTACGTTTGTTTTTTTTTGTTCACATCCATGTGCTATATATATATATATATATTTCAATTAATAATAATAATAATAAACATGCAACTTTCGCTAATAATATATTCATTACCATTTTGAATAATCTCTCCTATGCATGATTCTGACAATACTTGATAAGCCACTTCAGAATGTAAATGTGAATCAGGATCTGACAAGATTTTCGAAATGTCTTTTCCTGCCCATTCTTCAAGTAATTCTGGTCCTCCAGGATGATCATATACAAAGTCTGTTACATCATAAACTTTATTCCTATGAATTACCCAAAGGTCAGAAGTTTTATTATGTTTTATCACTTCATCAATAGTATATCGGAAAAGCATACGACCAGGCATTTTTGAGAACCAAAAGTTTTTATAAAATAGTTCTTTTATAACCCTTGCAGCCTTTGCTCTTTTTTTACAGTGAGATTTTTCCTTTAATTTTTAGAGAATATTTTTTTTGTGTTTATAATACTATTTATTGAGTGAACCGGTTTCACAAAAAAACTTTAAATTTCTGATATGGAATTTTCTTTCAGGCGAGTTTTATCTTATTATTCAATAATTTCTTTAACTCAACATTTTAAATTTAGGCGAAAATGGCTGTGAAGGCGAAAGCGAAAAAGAACACTTAAAAGTCGAGTCAAAGACCATTCATTTATTGAACATTTGTATTTCATGAAGTGTTGAGCTTTATTATTATTGATCAACCAAGTACTCAAATACCCAGATAATCAATGGATACACCACTATGATAGGTCAATTCAATCATAAGGAGGGTTTTAGTGTTCCATGTCGCAACTAGGGATGGTATATAACATGTTATAAATGATTTGAGGGGTATATACCATGGTATATACCCTACTAAAAAATTACACAAGAAATCAATTGTGGTATATACCACTAATATGTAATATGCAATAAGATAACAATTTTGGTTTGAATATTTATTTATAAGAAATACTAATTGCAATAAACTTATGTTATATATCTTCATAGAATTCTTGATTGCTACTACTATCTTCTAAATTAATAAATTCATCAAAATCATTATCATCATCATAATTTTCACCATCATAATTATAGTCA